GATACTCTGATGAATTATACTCGCTAAATTTGATCTCCTTACAGACCGAGAAGGAAGATTATTAGGTATCTCTCGCCTCTCTTACTGCCCAAGGAGCTCTCTTGCTTTTTATTCTTTCATCTTTTTTCCACTTCCCTTGTTCCTGTCTTTTAAAGAATTCTGGACTGCTTCAGCACAGTTTATAAAATCTAGTGGTAAGGAGATATTGCTGTGGAGACTTGTTATTCTCTACAAGGAGAAAGAATTTGTAAGTGGATTTGAGAAAGAAAGGGATAGGCATGATTTTCCCATTCCTCCCCAGTGTCCAAGTTCAGATAGATAAAGGATTCAATCCTATCAAGTGGTGAATGACATCACCCCTCTGCTTCCCCAAGAAACCTGAGCAGGCTCAGCATTTTGCAAAATACACCAAGGGTCAGCTTTCAGTTCAAAAAAGAAAGACTTGAACAGAACAAAAAGCAATTTAATCCAAACCACTGCACAACAAGAGAGTCCTTCAGTGAAAAGATGAGAGTATTGCTATTGACAGGGGCAGGGAGAAAACCTGCCAGTTCTCTTGATGTATAATTATCAAGAATAATCAAATTGCCATGGTTAAAGCCAGAAGATATCCAAGCCTCTGTTTAGTCCCTGAATAATGTCCTAGTGTAACACTTCCCAGATCATACAGCTCTGTTCCCTTCTGGAGGTGTGGAGTTCAGGTGGCTTCCACAGCCTGAATGCCTACAGGGGTAGGTTTTGGTTCTGGCCCCAAAGAAGGATTAAGGATTTGTTTTATAACTGGCCAGCTAAACAGCTCAAAGTTAAATATCTTATAAACTGGGGAAGGCTGAATCCAGTCTAAATGAGCCTAGATAGGCTGAGTTTTCCCCCATCTCAAAAAACCTTTGGCTAAGCAGTTAGGACAGGTCTTAGAGCAGTGCTGAAGAACTGGCTTTTAGTTCTGTGGTTTCTATCCTATTTCAGAATTTAAACTGATAATTCCCCCTCTAAATTAAGAAAAAAAAAAAAAAAAAAAAAAGGAAAAAAAAAAAAAAGAGGCTGCTGCCTCATTTAGTTATGTTTCTAAACCTACTTGGACCAGATCTCCTGTGCCATCATGTCATGGTTTCTTCTCCTTGGGCTAATTGTCCAGTTATCCCTGGGGGTCATGCAGCTGTCTCTTGCATCACCCTTTGACTACCAGTTATGCTCTGGTGACATCGGCTTCTTAGGGGTTATGGCAGCCAGACAAATTTGGGGAATATTTCATGTTGCATGAAGAACAGGTTGAATTGTCTTTCACTGTGACAACCAGGATACAGAGATGGATCAGGGCCAAATTCCCCCAACACTGAGTTAAGTGCAACAAACCGTTGGATCTTGATAAACTCAATATCTTTATTCTTCTTTATTTCAAGTGAACCTTCCCTGTTTTTGCTTTCTTCTTCTATCCTTTTTCAAAATCAGATTTATTTTGTTAATCTGCCTCTTTTTCTCCATTTTATGTTTCCCAAAATGGACTCACTAACACTCCCTTCATTGTTTAGAGCATTCATGACATTGCTTTAATGACTCACATTTTACCATAAATTATAACTTCTTTTTTCTATATATGCTGTATTTTTTCCCCAATTGCAATCCCTTCTGAGAACAACACATTCCCCTAAAATCCCTCAAATTATGTAACAAATAATTACTTGGAGATAGTTTGACCCAGGTGCAATGTCTTATCCTTTGCCATTAAGTAGTTGTTTGGCCTTCACATATTGAATCCCCATTTTGTGTTAAACATTCTAATTTGGAATCCAGCTTCCTTAAAAAAAAAAAAAAAAAAAAAAAGTTAAGGGTTGCATTGTCTTTCTGCCTACCATTCTTTTCTTATAGTATTTAAGATTATAATATGTTGGGGTTTTTTTGCCCTTGCTATTCCAAAATACTGAAGTCTTGGCCATGTGTCTTTCCCCTGTATGCCTGATTCTGAGTAACATTGAGAGGAACATAACCTTGGATAAAAGACAGAAAGAAAAAGATAAAGAGAAAAAGAAAAAGAAAAAGAAAAAGAAAAAGAAAAAGAAAAAGAAAAAGAAAAAGAAAAGAAAAGAAAAAGAGGAAAAAGAGGAAAAAGAAAAAAAAAAAAAAGAAAAAGAAAAAGAATATCCCATCTTATATCCCAAAAAAATGAAAACCCTAATGATTTTATTGTTCCATGTTTCATTGTCAAAATCAATTTTAGTGATTCCAGACAACATGATTAAAAAGTGATTGTGGGTTTAGAAAAACATCCCATTGTTACTTAGAGTCAATTGCTAACACAATATGTTCTCTGATAAGAAAACCAAGAGGACTCCATGAAGGAGTGGTGCTGGGATCTCTGCTATAGACTTGTGGCTCTGAGAAGGACATTCCAGCACAGAAGATGAACCTCATCCTACCAGCCCAGAGAGTAAACAGGATTAATTTCCCAGAGGCTGGATTATGATTGATCAAAAAGGTCAGTGAATCAATGAATAGTCATGACACCCTCATGGAATATTATATTAATACACTTTTCTGACTGACCACTGACTGCTTCTATTATTTTTAATGAGTTCAATCTTGTTGGGTGGGATTCATTCACACCAATGTTACACATCTGCAATGCAAGTGACTCATCTAACCTCTTTGGACATCTACTTGAGAATGAGATGTCTCAAATCCTGGATTTGTTTATTTTTCTTCTTTGATTGTAATCAAAGAAGATTTAAGAGAAGTCAAACAGGTAGTTCAGACATGAACTCTGTATAGTTCTGCATATGGCCAGATGAATCCCATCCTGACAGATTCCTCTTTGTTTTATGCTTACATTTTGCTGTTTCGATTGAAAAAAAAAAAGTTGGAGAAAACTTCAGGAGAATACAGAACATTACAAGAAAAGCAGTTCTGTAACATCAAAGGCACTTGGCACATTTTAGAGGCAAACTCACTTTATCAACAAGTTGGTAATATCCTGAATGACTTCATCAATTCAATCCCATTTAAACAGTCATGGTATCATATAATCATTTTACTTCAGTTTTATTCCTCAGAGCATTAGGAAATAAAGACAATTGCCTCAGTAAGTTGCCTAAATAAACAGAGGCTGAGAGCTATTCACTTTAGCTCTAAGTGAAACTCTTGTGTCAAACTTCATGACTGAAGGCAATTAACTTTTTTGCTGTTGATTTTAATGGCACCATAGTTTCAACCAGAAAGAGTCTAACATGCCTCTATTTTGATGCAAAAGGATATTTAATGGACTGTATCCGAAAAGGGCTGTAGACAATAAAAACTTAGATGTCTTAACACCTTACTTTTATACATGTTTTCCCCAAAGTAGCATATGGGACAAGATTGTTGTTCAAGCCAGTACACACTGGCTTGAATCAGTTGTGCCAACTTTGTGGTGATACCTATCACAAACCCATAGCAGTAGCACTCAGTTTACAGCAGAATGAAACTAGCTACTTCTGGGAACAAATGTGAGCTGTAACTTCCCCTTCATGTCCACCCATTAGGCATCCACAGCTCTGAGACCCCCTCTGTGGAAGGCGTTATGGTCAAAGAGGAGAGCATTCCTTCTCATAGGAAGGAGGGGGATAAGGAAGATTAATGCTTTATTTCTTTGTTTTGTCCATCTACTCCAAAATTTTTCAGTAGTAATAATCCAAGCTACCATCCCATGATCTGTATGATTCAGGCTCAGTTCCCAGGATTTCACATTATGGGTAAGACATGCACAGAAAAAAAAAATAGTCTGGGGAGAAGGAGGAAGCAGAAGCCAAAATTTCTCTTTCCAGAAGAGTATGGCTGGGTTATGGAGTCATGTTTTTTCTCTGATCCAACAAAGTTTGAAATCTTCTGGCACAGTTTCTGAGGTTCAGCAGCAAGTGCCAGAACTGCCTGGTAGATAGATGGCTTCCTGGGGGGGCATAACAGCACTCACATCTTAGCCTGAGTGATAGAGGGAATGTTGGTTGTGATGGGACAGAAACATGCTGCAGGTGAGTTGTATTTGAACCCAGTCTGGACAGTATCAGGCAGGGGTAAAGGTCTACACTCAAAGAAATCATTTAAAATCCCATCTTTACATAGGATGTAAACCCATAGGTAGGCCCAGCTTCATGGTGCCAATGACTGGGCTGCGCTGGGAAGAGCTGGAGCCAGGCCCTGCTGCAGCCTTGCTGGGGCAGTGTCTGACAGCCCCAGGGGTGACATGGAGTCTTGGGCCCTGGGCTGGGGGTGCCTCAGAGCCCTGATGCTTCCAAGCACCCGTGAATCTAAAGGCAGGCATGTTTTATATTTCTGTCATAACGTGACCAGCCATGCCTTCTGATGCCAGCCTGCTGCTTGCCTTGGCCACCCTGGGTAAATCCCATGGGCACGACTTCTGTGCCAGTCCTGTCTCACATGGCTTTGGATTTCATAAAATCATAGAATGGCTTGGGTTGGAAGGGACCTTAAATGTCACCTAATTCCAACCTTCCTGCCATAGGCAGGGATGCCACCCACTAGGTCAGGTTGTCCAAGGCCTCATCCAACCTGATCTTGAACACCTGATATTCATCCTTGATGCATATTTGCAGAATACATACCACTGAATCCAACTCCTATATACAATCTAAACATCATTCGGACCTATAAGTAACTATTTCAGCAGGCAGAATAAGTCTTCCTAAAGGGAACCCCCAAGCAGGGTTTTCTAGTTGGATGAAATCTTGTCCCCATGCCTTTCACAAGTAACAGAGACCTTACCATGTATATCAAACCCAGTGTCAAACTCACCCGTGCCACTAGTAATGAAAAAACCCTGCCCCACAAGCGAAACTGCCTGAGGCGTGTGATTCCCCAGAGCAGCCAGCCCACACAAGACCATACGCGGCTGTTTGTGATGACTCCGCTTCGAGTGGCATGACAGCCATGTGGACACTCTGTGGGGGGAGCTCAAACCTCAGCATGGCTTAAATGTTACTTAAATGTTATCTTCAGACAAAATAAACTCATCAGAAACACAAACAAAGACGTTTATTGCAAATAAAATTCACATTCACATCATTAAATCCTACAAAGTATAAGGAGGTCTTTTTGCAAATTGTGAAGTATCTGTGTGCACAGGAGGTGCTGTTTTCATCAGAACAGCTGCCTGGGACATGCGTATATTTATCTGAAGGTGCCAAACCAAATATCCATCTATCTACAAAGGTTTTGATTTGGCCGTTGACATTGTTCTGACACTTCCACAGTTTCATTTTCTCTGGATCTGGCAGTAGAGGCTCATAGAAAACCCCAAACCAAGAATCTGGAAAACAAAAACATTTCTGGTATTACTTGGCAGTCCTGGAAATCCCAAGATACAACTGATACACAGTGGGAACATTTTGTTTGCAAATGTCTTGGACTTACAAGCAGGCTAAATCTGTTATGCAGAAGATCTTTTCCAATGTAATTCTTTAAAGAACATGACTTTAGTATATTGCCATTTTAATGAAATCGGCATGTACCACAGGTAAGATTGCAAATACGATGGAAAACTTTCATTTGTTTAAAAGATGAATTGCCTGCGTGGATCGGGAACACTGTAACTCTAGGATTTTAAAATGCAGTTCTTAGCTGCAATGAAGCAGCAAATGAAGCAAAAGTTCAAGAAAGTCGGACAAAAATTCAACCTTTTATTTTCTAAGAAATTTAGAGGAACTTTCTGAATCTATTTCATATTCTAAGGGTTGTTTCTCTTTGATATCTCTCTTCTTTTTGACTACCACTTTCTCATCTTTAAATATATCTGTATATTCATATGTGTATATGTATACAGATGTACATTTACACACATGTACATATCCTGCCTTTTTGATGAGCAAATGATCATACAATAAATGTTTTATATTCATCAGTAATAGGATTGAGATAGAAACTCTGAGTCCACAAAAGAAGTTGTTTGAGATATAAAATTTGGTAGGATCACCTCCTGTGGCAGGAATTAGTGGGTGAAATTCCACGACCTGTGACAGACAGCTGACAAGATCAGAAGGTCAGTAAGCTTCCTTCTGGATTTAAAATTAACCAGTCTGTGAAGGTGTTATCCAAAAGTGTAAAGTATTCAAAGGACATTTATGAAGCCATGAATTCATTTATTTAAGGAAGAGATGTTGTGGAGTGTACAGAACATGTGGGTACAGGTAAGGCAAGGGGATGGCCGCACAGCTGGAAGAAGCTGACTTGGCTTCCCTGATGTACCATGCCCACATTTTCACCTGTGCCCAAGTGAAACTGGGCCCTTCTTTTCTCCGTATCATTTCCACTAACAAATTGAGCTGAAACCATTTACAGCCCACAAGTGGCATGATGGAGCAGGCAGAGGGGGAGAGCTAAAAAAGAATACTTTTCCTTTTCCTGGCCTTTTTATCTGCTGTTTTCCAGAAGAGAGAGAGAGTTAAGCATGTGGCTTTTGATTTGCAGTTACTTGAGATGTCACAATATGTTAATATCTTTGGAAAGGCTAAATCTTTAGCAAGTGTAAATTGCCAGCTGACAATTTGTACCAGCTGAGGCTGTTATCCTCATATTGTTTACTCACTTTGTTTTCAAATATTTTTATGATTGAGAGAGGCAACCGCCACAGAAAATGCCAGCTGGAGAAAAGGTAAGAATGATGGCCAATGAACTAAAGGCTACAATGAACACAACTACAATAACTAGAGCAAAGTGACTTACAACTTACTTTCTGGATAGATATGAAATTTTACACTTCATTATACTTGTAAAGGCCTTTCTTTATTTATTGATATATTTCATTGATTTTCCCCATGAACTCTACATATAGGCAAGAGACCTGACCTCCCATGTATAGCACCTTATGTAATGTGAAGCCTATGCCGAGTAAGAAGTGGCCTGTCATCTCACAGTGCTGCAGCTGCCTAACTGTTCCCTGCTTACAATTATTTTCCTGGAAGAGTACTTCTGAGCTGGGGCTCTAGCCCACTCTTATACCACGAGGAACAGTCCTCTGCCAAGGATGTTAAGAAGTTTTCGTTAGGAATAACAGGCTGAACTCTGCACAGCAATCTTCGTCATTCTGCTTTTCCCTCAAACATTCATCTGGGGGGGGCAGGGGAGGAGGAAAACCACACAGGAATAGTAAAAAGAATGAAAATGACCAAAGAAAGCAACATGATGAAATCCCCTGCTTCTTTGTCATTTTCTCCTAATCAAAGCCTATCATTCATCAAGTAGCTGACTGGATCACCTCACTGTTTTTTCTCCTCTCTTTGGAGAAAATTTTGTGTGATAGTCTTCAGTGTATGATGAAAAAATTAAAATGAAGAGCTCACATGCTCTGCTTTTTTCACACACCAGAGTATATGGAGGAGCACAGGTGTGCACTCAGGCACATTCAGACAACATCTTGATGGTTAAATTACTCCCTCTGAATAATGATTTTGAATCATAATTTCTCCACGATAAGAATATGCAATTTAGGGACTACCAAGTTTAATGATATGATTTTTTCCTTCAGCTAAGAAGAGAACAGCTACTCTGCTTCTTATTTGTCTGGGTCTGGGAGTCTGCACACCCTTCCATCCACTGGGCTCACTGTCAAGTTCCAGCCTGGCCCCAGACCTGTTAAATCTTTGCAGAAAAAGTGCCATGTGATATGCTTATACAGGCAACAGGGTGGTCTGGTCCCACCTGAATTCCTCAGCTTGGCAGCTGTATGCCATTGATAGGAAATAAGTGAGATTTCAGCTAAGGTTAGAGGTGGTTCTCCCTTGTCTATTAATTGTGCAAGCCAGGTGTTTTAATTCCACTCCCAGTGTATTTTTAAGTAGAAGGCATGGCTTGTCAGCCACTAAATATTTTAATGGTGTATACTGGTACCTCAATAACTGCCAGTCCAAATGCGATCCCCATAATTATGAGCATATGGTCTTGAACGTATTTGATGATCACTTCTCTTACAAACCTGAAAAACAAGACAAAATGAATAATTATAGGTAAGCAAGATTAACCTAAGTTTATTAGAAACACATCCTCTAAAATATTTTCTCTCTTGCTCTCCATGTAAAAGAAATGCTATTTGAATTTACACTGGTTTGTTGCTAACAGACACAAAGAACACATTTATATGTATCTTGGGCCCTGAGACAGACATCTAGCCTTTGCCTTCACAAAAATGAAGATGAATTTAACTTCATTTTCCCACTAATGTGATCTTTGGGTTTGAGACCTCAAAGCCTATTATTAGAATCAGTCTCAACTAAAAATATTTAGATATAAAACCAAACTTAAGTATTAATTTTGACAAATGATTGGTGGTCTTGGCCTGGGACTGGGAGGAAGTGAGTGATCACATCTGAAGTTCTATGCAGAGTTACTCTCCTTTTTAATAAGTGCATACATCTGTTCTTATAACGCCTACATCTTCTCCAGGCATTGACAATATTCCTTTTGCAAACTGTAGGGAAAGCCAAGTACAGCTTAAATCCATCAAAACCACAATACCGTTCCAACACTACAACTTCATTCCCCCAAATATAATGCATAGTTATATGCCTTCACCATATTTCCTCCCTCACAATAAACACATGCGTCTTTTCCTTCCAGTCCTTCTAAAAACCTCTCATTTAAGCTGACTCAGAACTGCACTAAATTTCAAACCATTTTTCCTGGATCACAAGAGTTGAATGTCTTTACTAGCATCTAACACCACCATGAAATCTGTGCATTCATGTGAGCGATATCTTGCACCTGCAGTAATTTCACTGATGGTTTCTCATATGTCCTTTGAGGGTTTGCCTGCGGCCAAAAAGACATAAAAATGTGGCCAAAAAAGCCTCTGCATACATCTTATTTCCAGATTGGGTTCTGGCATTCGCTGCTTAACCAGACTGTTCCCTTGCTTTAAAACTGTATTTGCTTCTGTGGGACTTCGCAGGGAGGAAATTTGTGTTCAGAAAGGACCTGGCTAAGAAGCTGTGCATTTAGGAAAGTATACAATCAGTTTGGGATATTTGCTAAAATCTGCTGTGTACTAGATGCAGATTGGAAAGTATTAGCATTCTAAAAATGTAGGTGTTTTCTCTGAGTTTTCCACTACTTTTTCCATATTTTTCTTGGTATGTATGGAGTTAAATTTCAGTATAAGAAAACAGAGAATTTGTGAAATAAACAAGATTTCTGCTGCCCATTCACCATTTTTTGAGTATGCTTTTTTGTAACCATTCACCAGGCACTATTGCCTTACTACTATATTAATTACCACAAGCTTTTCAAAAGGTCTGAGTTGCAAATTACACTTTAAGTATGCTTCTAGGAAGCCTACCACATATGAGGTGCCTTACCAGTAGGTTCTGTAAAATGAGCGTGTTTTTCTTCTAGTAAATGACTATAAAACTCAAGGATCTTGTATTTAATGCAATTGCTTTTCATTATCTCTTCGCCCTATGGAAGCCTCTGAGTCAACATGTCTACCACCAAAATGAGCTCTGGCGGGAGCTTCATCTTCCACAGGAGAGCCAGAGAGTAGCTGGCATGCTGCTCTGACCCAGAGGCATACTCTGACCCCAAAGCCATAACAGCAGTTTTCACCTGTAGTTACCATGCAGACTGGGAGATAATGGAGTGTACAGATACAACAGAGACATCCCAGGAGGAGAAAGCAGACACATATTTTATGTATGCACAGCAATTTCACCACAGTTGGTGTGGAGGCAAAGCTGGCTAATGAAGAGAAGGCAAAACTTCGTCTTTTTGGAAAGAGACAGAACTGCTGACTATGCCAGCAACTAAAGACAGCTCTATGTTAAAACCTGTGTTTGGAAAGAAGAGCAGGACATTATATTTTTCTTACCGTTTTATAAACATATTTCCTGTTATAAGAGGTGCAGAGGTTTGCTTCTTCGCCTTTTGGGTCACATCCACAGACTTGACTGCCACCAATAGGTGTATCAAAATTGCTTCCCCAATCTGCAGCCCCATTCAACAAACCGCAGCACTTGTTCTGCAAGAAAAGAGGAAACAGGAAGATGAAGAAAAAAACAGTGAATTGCTGTTATGGGAGTGAATGAGGGCAAGCCAAGAGGAACAACAATTTCCTTTCATCTCATCCAATGTGGAATTTTTCCCAGATTGATACCTGTCTCAAATACCCTTTACATTTCAATAAGTTATAAGACTGTGAGTGCACAAGGTAAAAAAAAAAAAAATTATAAAAATAAATAAATAAAAGAGACAATTTTCAACATGCAGCACTCAAAAACCATTAATATACTGTAAAGCTAGTGATTGTCAGTGTCAGAATACAGCATGGAGCAATGCTGGGTATAGTGTGTTTTCAAAATCAAGTCTTCTTTCTGTGACTTACACCTGCATGTGGTAAGTAACATCTACAGTAAATCATATATTGAAAAGCCAGTCTGAAAAAGTAAAATTCAGGCACATAAAACTATGAAATCTAGAAAAAGATCCACCTTGAATGATGATTAGCCCTTTGAATTAGAAATGGACTGAGGAGGCCAGGGCTCCATTTGGGGTTTGTGAAGCCTAAGCCAGGTGCAGTTTCACTTCAGGTTCCACTTTGTTCAAGCCACTAAAGCTCAGGGGTGCAGACTTGGGTTTACATCTTCCCCCTTTTAAAAAGCAGCTGGAAGTGTTCATGTTATTTTGTATAAAAGCAAAGGCTGTGGGACATAATAAAACAATCCTGGTCTATTTAAAAATTAATAGAGTAATTATGCTTTTTGTTGTTATTGTTGCTGTTGTTTTCCTTTTGCTCACCTTTCAATCATCCCTCCAGGGAGCTGCTTATTATATCAGGAGAGTTAAGTTGACTCAGAAGCACAGGACAAAGCCGGAGGCAGAATGGAGAAGTAAAAGTGGAAGTAATATAAGCTACCTAAATATTGCTTCTCACTTCCTTTCCTTTCACACCGGCAGCCTTTAAAGATATAAGAATTCTTTAAGCCTACCCTAAAAACAGCAGCCAAAACTCTGTGCCAATGTATAGGCACAGGTACTACTGGGAGCATGGCAGGGACACACACCAGAAACGGTGAAATTTGTTCTCTGTGTGATGTCCAGAATCAGGGTGGTACTAAGTGCCTACCTTCTGGCACTTTGCGGGTAGGAGAAATCAGAATAGATGTAAGTACAGGGAAAACAAAACTCTTATTGCACATCTTTCCCCGCTCTTACACAGGAAAAATATACATTTAATGATTTCATGCTAACATGATATTCTAAATGAAATAACTACTGAAGCTTTCCTTATCCAATCTTCTTGCCTAAAGGGTACTGGACAGTTCTCAGCTGGGACACACTGAAGGAGCACCTTCCCTTCAAAAGGGAAAGCTGCAACGAAGGAGAAGGAAGCCTTCTCATCAAAGCATTTATGTAACAGTCAGTCTCAATTTTGGGGGACATTTGTAAAGGGAAGCCAGGCCTTTTCATCCCCACAGTGATGGGGCAGGCTCCTAAGCCCCAGGTGTCCAGCCAGATGCAAAGACCTGGAAGGGGACTAGAGCCCTCCTACGGAGCAGGAGCCATTCAGCTCTGAGATAATAATTCAGTGAGGAACTGTGAAGGGATGACCTCAGATGAGAAGAGAAAGGGATGGTGGGGATTATCAGAGTTTTCAGATTTTTATATCACCCTTTGTTTAGTAATATCTTCAATAAAAGTCTTGTAAAAAAAAGTCTGGCATTGTGTCAACACCTAAGCATTCCCTATTTCATTTATTTTTAAAAAAAGGCTAATTTCTGGAGGTGCCAAGTAACTCCAGCTTCCGTATCCTACTGAGAAGAAATAGAAACATGGTAGCTTGAGTGAGGAAGGAAGATGTTCTGGAGGTCATGAAATACTGATGGGGCATTTCAGGCAATAGAAGAACTGACCATCACCAATCCAAACTCAAGCAGAGGCCACTTTCTGTAAATGAAGATGATCTGGGCTGAGAAAGTTTTCACTGCTTTCAAGAAGAAAAAGAGTGTTGTTTTATATTTTATTCCCAACTTGAGACAGAAACCTTTAAATCTTTAAATACTTCTTAAATAAGTTCATGTGGATGAAGCTCTGAGGGGGTCCAAATAGAGCCTGGAATAGGGGAATAAAACCAGCACTCCAACCTACCCAGGCAACAATACCTTGCTCCAAACAGATGAGGCAAATTGCACCTTTTAGGTAACCATGGCTAGAAAAAAACATATACTTTATAAAATGCATAACTTGCACTAGCATAACCAAAGCTGTGGAAGACTGATAACCCAAGCATCAAACAACAGTCTCATGGCAGTCGATTTATGACCAAGATGCAAACCTGACTTCTTGGGTCCTAAGAGCTACTTGAATCCATAAATCCTACCACACCCCACAGAGAATTACAAGTCTTTGAAGTATACTTCCTCAGACATATGCACAAAAGTCTCTAGTCTGCTCAGTCTTCTAGAATGACAAAATAAGCACATATAAAAACCATGAAGAGCAAATACAAAGACATGCAGAGTTTTTAAAGGCCCAATACCAATTACAGGGCTTTTAAATCCTGTAGGCATGCTCTGCATGTGAGCTCTGCAGTATTACTTGCCAGTGTAATGAGCATATGGCCTCGAAGAAAGAACTGATAATTTCTTGCAATCATATCACAGAATGAGGGGACTTTTGTTTTGGTTGTGTTAGTTCTTATAAGAAATTTATTATTTCTGCAAGCACACTGAAGAATTTGTAATCACTGATGCAAACTTATGGAGTTTAAGACTTACAGATCTAGACAGCTACCAATCTATTTATTCTAGAAAGAAACTTTCACAAAATCCTATTTAGGGTCATTGAGAATGTCTTCCTCTGTATAGAGAAAGGGACTTTTTCAGACACAGTTCAATGTGGATCATCTTGCATGTTGTGTGTCTTTGCTCCATTTCTCTCAGGAAGAGGATCTTCTCTTTTGCACAAAGAAATCATCATGGAAAGCCCAAGCTGCATCAAGGGAGCAGAAACCCCTGTGCAGCATTTTGACTTGTGTTTAAGTCAGACCCTCTTCCATCCCCAGGGTGTGAAATTCAAATCTATGACAGAGTAGCTATAAAATGAAGCATAGACAAATGCTAGAGATAGAACAGATAGCAACAACCCCCACCCTTTGTTACATCTTAATTACCTCTGTCTGAAACTTCTGGAAGGTCTCTTGAAATTGCTTTGCTTCTTCTGTATTTTTTTTCAATAAATTAACACTGTCCTTTAAAGTCGTGTTAAGGGATGTTTCAATCTGCAAGTGCAAATATTTTATTAGTTTTCAGTGGAGAAACAAATCTTTGGGAAGACTTGAATGACAATACAGAATAATACTGTACCTGAGATCTGTATACTGCTCCTAAGATACCTCCTGTAACCTGAAGGATCAAGATCAGCAGCAGTCCAATAAAAAACTAGGAAGAAACAAAAGGTACAGAAAATTATAACTTTTTTTTTTACCAAGTTGCTATCATCTCTTTAAAGTGAATATTAATCTTTCATGTGCTTCATAGAATGAACTGAAGTTCCAGTCAGTTCCAGTTTTTCCTTCTTTGGGGATGAGAAAATAGATGCTCAAGACAGAGTGTGTGCCTTAGTGTCATCTAGTCACCAAAACAAGACACTCTGGAGCGGTGGCATGATGGACAGTGTGTAGGTGAGAGATGTTGGGTAGAAGGACAAGGAGGACATACTGGGAAGACTAGCGGAGGGAGCAACTGGGAATTTATGAGATTAAATGGGATACATAGAAGGGGGTGACCGGTGGAGTGAATGTCAGTTTTAGTTGTGTGGAGGAAAAGTTAGTGACATGGTCAGGGCTCTCTTGGCCCTATTTTCTCTTTGATGAGACCACCCATCATTTCTTTTGCACTTCAATTCAGGAAGGACTCAAGTGTGGGGTAGGCGATGACAATACATGCTCATAAGTAAACATTTGATTAAATAAAAACAGTATTGTCATCTGATACTACCAGTGACTTTATACATCAATTGTATCTATAGTCTGTTAAAGGCAGACAAATATTCTTTTTTTTCCTACCAAGAGCAGCATGCACCGACTTTCCTTGATGGCACCACAGCACCCCAGAAACCCAAGGACCATAATGATGGAGCCCACAGCTATCAGCAGATCAACCCCTGCAAACAGGCTGCTGTCTATGCCCAACTCCTGAAAAGAGAGGGAAAAAAAATCTTTCAGCTGCAAGAAACTCCCCTGAAAAACATATGTATCTCCCCAAACAAGAAAATATTTAATAACTGATAAATATACTGATGTGCAACCATAGAGAAATTCTATTCCTTGAATCAATAAACCACTAACATCCTTCCTAAACCTTTTGTTGGACGGCCTGGTGGAACCTGTCTCTTCACAATCTCTGTTTCTGCACAGGATGAAAGTCAACTTAACATTAGTAAATAAAAATCCCATCTTTAAAATAGCTTTCAGTTCATTTTCAGTTGACAAATATTTGCTTTTTGTTGGAAGTAGCAAAATTATTTCAAAATCTCTCTTACATTAACCAAATGTTAAAGAAACAAAAACTCTGTCTGTCATTAGAAACCCAAGGACGTACTCTGTGGCTGTTCCTAAGAGAACATGTTTCTGAGTGATGCTGGATATAGTGGAGAAAGATATATTTTCCAAAGCAGCTTTCTTTTTCTTTGTTTTTGGGCATGATTTCTAATAATGCCATCACATATGAGGACTGTATTTTGATGTGTTGGACATTCAACTAAACAGTTCATATACCTCATTATTATTAAATATCAAATTATTCAGTTCCCACAGAAGGACTAAGGCCAGGGGCCAAAACAGAGAGAAATGTTCAAAGAATATTTTCCAGTGTGGCTTGTGCCAAGATTAGCAAAAACGTCTGGAAGTTGTCACATTTATCTTCTGATGGAAATTACAAAGGTATATAGACAAGTATAATTTTAAGAATGTGTTGTTTTTTCCCCTTCGAAGTAGGACTAAAACTCCTGTTATTTATTCTTAGAAAGCTTTGTTCATCTATAGCCAAATCTTTCTGGTCTCTTCAATTACTACTCAGGCAAAACATACATTGGATTTGAATGGGATCTTTGCATAGAGGCAAAAATAGTAAGAAAATACTTTCAATTTTGGTCCTAATTCTTAATTCACAGTTTTTGTGGAGTAACAAGAGTCACTTCAGGAAGCCAGCTTGGAACACACTTAAGTGTGCTTTTCTGAATAGGAAAGCTTTCCAAAAATAAGAATAACAATGGTTATGGTTTTCCAAGCTCCATTGCACTATCTGAGCCATGATACTAGAGATGGTCATCTAGCAAGCGTGGCAACTTTAGCTTCTGTAAAATGTTGACTGAGGAGTGAAACACATCATTCTTCCTCTTCCACAGCAGGACATGGCAAAACTCTCCATAATGACCTAATTTACTCCACATCACAATGTCACTGTGATCTGAGTTCCCTTACATCCATCCACTGCCAAATATGAGACATCTGGGACTGGCTAAGGGCAACAACATCATCAGCCAAATAGAAGAAATATATAAAGCCATCTTCTTATTTCCAACATCCTTTTAGTTCCGGATATACTGAATTAAAAAGTATTTTTCTTTACTGATGGATTCTGGTAGAGAAGCAGAGGAGTGATCAGAAGTTTTGCAGCTTAATCTGACCTAAAGGCTCAATCTGAGAGTTGGAAAAGAAATCCTTCAAAGTAACACTTGATCATTTTTTCACTTCTACAGCCAGAAATCCATTTTGAAAACTGAAGTATACAAATAAAATTTTCAAATTCATTTACATTTATGTGGTTCAAATTCAGCCAAAGAAATGCACTGCCTAAACCTCAGAGTCAGATTGCTCTTCCTGTTAGCATAACGAAGCATCAACATGCAAAGATTGCACAGCACCTTCCAGAGGAATGGTAGAATCAACTTCACTTCTTTATGTGAATGGAAAACATGCTGTAATTAAGATATCAGTGCCACTGGGAGCACAGATGGCAAAAGGATGGCAAGGCCCACAAGGCCAAAGAACCTTTGCACCAACAGGACGATCCGCTGGTGCATTTATGCAAGATCAAGGGCTCATCAAGATTGTGTTTTCTGTAACTTTGCAGAAAAGGAAAGTCATAAAATCTGAAGAAATTTAATAACCCAGATAAAATCCAGGAGGGGAACTCAGGGATTTTTCTTCTCCCCTCCATGAAGGCTATTTACATTACATTTAAATCCTGAGTAAAGATCTGTTGTTCTTTAAAAATAATTCCATGAGTGAAAAAGGGTTAGACATTATTAGGAAGCCATTGAAAATAGAAGAGAAAAAATCTTGCTCCCTTTCAAAGTTACAATTACTGAGAAAATAAGTAATAATAAATAATATTATTGAAGACAGTAAGAAAAGTAAAAAATATTTCCTAAAAATACATAGAAGTAACTCTAGAAATATATATGACTATACTATTCTAACGGGGAAGGACTGAAAAGACTAAGAGGCTCATGGCTCCTCATTATTCTTTCTAGCACTGAAATCAATAAGAAAACCATCATTAGTTTTCATTAGAGGAAAAAGAGACCCACATTTTAAAGAGAAATCACTGTGCATCTGCAAGAACTTAGATTAGTAACACTGGAAGACACTTGTCATTACACGTCTGTGCTTACATTGACCACTTTATCTGACTACCCACACCATCTTGTTTAATCTTAAACATCATAAAACACATTCATTTTTACCCACACAAAACACCCCAGTGAAAGCAGAACACACTTGCAGAAATTAAGTTGAGAAAGTAAAATCTATATAGTAGCTTCTGCATTTTACATGGAACTGATATTATTGCATGCATTTACCTCCTGAGCATCTTTGCTAACACGTATCCATATAGAGACGCCCAAAATAACTGAACCACACACCTGTGGGGAAAAAAAAAATAAAGAATATTTAGAAAGATCAACAATTTTAGATTAAAGTTCAGCATCCAAATAGCACCAGATGCTGGCCAAAATTCTGAAATAATTTCTTTGGCAAAATGAAAGCAACATGAATTGCTAGAGCACAGAATATTGATTCATATCCAGGAAACTTCATAAGGATAGTTAAACCTTCAGTTATGCACCAAAGCCCTGATGTTTCTATCCCAGAGGAATCATCATTTCCTTGATGATTTATACATGTGGTTGTAAGTACACAGAAATTCTGTCAGATGAGAGACAACTATAAATTGCTATAGTATGTATATAACATGACTGTAAAGAACAATGTTTCCTGTATAATGGAAATGAAAGATTTGATAAGGGATGTCGGTACAACTGTTATTTCTAGAGTTTTTCAGGACATATATCTTTAGAAATATTCTCTATGGTAAAACTATTAGGAAAAGTTCTAAATAAAGTCTTCCTGCTTTCTTTGTTGCAACAATATTTGGCTATCTCAAGCTATTAGAATATTCCTCTTGTAAAGAGCACACTGTGGTAGTTATTATTTCCATTATATTTTTAAAGAAGACAACTTTAGTCGATCTTGTGCATATGAAAGATAAACATCTAAGTCTATCTCCTCTGACCTGTCAGGGACACATATCCTCAGATGAGTTAAATGACCCATTGATATTACCAACTTAAAAAGAAGCCCAGAATGATTTGCTTTGAGATGTTGAAGTCAGGGTGGATGAATCCCAGATCCAGACATATTCCTTAATCACCAGTTGTTCTCCAGTTTCATTGATCTTTGAGGTACTGTTCCACTATGCTCCAGCCACTGTGTTCCTTACCTTGTTTGTGATGATTGTGAAAATTCTCACACATAATTTCTCTTTTTTACCAGGTATGGGAGACAGGTAATTTTAGAGGCTAAAAATATGTAATTATGTGAGCCACTTGAGAAGACTGGTAGGAAAGAGAAATCACTGAGGACCAAAGTCTAGTAAGATTCAGAATTATCTTCCTGTATGTCTTTAATGGTCAAGTCAGAAATGGCTCTAAAATGTGGTTATGAGCTTCCCATGAAAACTGGGACCTTTTAAAATTAAAAGAGCTATTTTTACATGTTTAAGATTTTTTTTTTCCTCAAAAATACTTTCCTGCAAAAAGGTTTCATATAATATTCATCATCAAAGACCGTAACGACTTTAGCAGATTATTTAATATGGAACACAGCCAGCCCTCAGACATGAGTACCACACATTTTTCTGTTCTAAGTAAAGCTCCTATAAGTACGCTTTACACATGAAAAAGAAAGTTGTACAATCGATGACAGCTATATCATGTTATCAAATTTAACTAGAACTCCCCACTGAAATCATCTGAATCCCACTGAATCTGCCTAGAAACTGATGGTATCATATGACTCTGTATTTGGGTCTTGTTCAGCAGCACTGTGTGAACCATGTGGCTATGCACCAGACAACGTGGGTTTGCTAATGTGAAAAGTTCCACTGAAGCAGCTATTGCTGCAAATCTAAACAGAATTTGGCCCACTGCCTTATTCGTTATAGAGAACCTCCCCCAAAAATATAGCACAGTAGTAGAAGTAAGTAAATCTGAATGTACAGAAACTTACCAATCAGATGGGGATGCTACAATATTTATTTCCTCCATTCAAAAAAACAAAGAATATTATTTTAAAATGAAGTTTCCACTATGGTGTATATATTTTAAATATAGAAAATAAAATTGCTTTAGACTCATAAAAACACTGAATTTCAGTGAAATTTTAATGTTTTGTTTCTGTTTATTTTCATCATATACAAAGTGAACAAGAAAACACAAATAAAATAATTGAAATTACAAATCAAAAGTTCTGTTCCCTAAGAGTCAAAATAGAACACTGCTTGCTTGTTGCAGTACTCCATCTTAATTAATAGTTTTCCTTAAAATAAAAATTTACTTTCTTTCACCAGACTGGAAGATGCAAAGCTCTGTGGGTGCTCCAGAGCCCAATGCCAGGGTTGTGAATTCCTGGGGGCACACAACACGTGGGGCCAAGGAGAGAGAAGCAAAAGAGACTTTGCAGATCTGGCTTAGCCTATTCCAGGATTTGGACATTCAAGGATATGTTGTAGGAGCTGCTAAGAAAAGGGCATAAGAAGACTAAAAAGCCTGTTCCTGAGGCCCTCAGAAGGGGGCAATCCAGAGAGATTGCAAAGGGGTTAAAAAAAAGGACACCAGATAAACATGCTGCCGTTGCTGTTATCTAGTTGAGATGAAAGTCACCTTTATTCCCCACTATCAGTTTAACTTTCCACCTACCCAACTGCGCTGTGCACCAGGGAGTGGAAGCAGCAGCTGTGAAGACATCACTGCTCCCTGTCCTTTACCACAGCAATTTAATGATTTCCAGGGATTAGAGACGGGAGTGTTATTCAAAGAATTCAGATTCATTGTACTCCACCTGTGTGTACTGCTGCTTGCACCACACCTCTTCCCCATCTCGGTAGTATTAAGCCCCTTTCTTTAAAATAAGTCAGTATAACTGCATTTGTGTCCTCCTCTGTCTCATCCAGGCTGCCATACGCACAGCAAATGCTCTCAGCATTTTCTTCCCCAGAACAGGGTGCAGATTTTCCTGACTTTGGCATAAACAAGGTCTTGGGAAGTTTGTTCCATGCTGCTTTTTTTCCTGAACTTTCAGGACTCCTCCAGGATCACATCCTGGATCTTCTGTCCAGAAACCCGTGCAGTTCCTGGAGGCTTAGGCTGCCATATATTTTCGATCTGCCTTGGTAGAGGTGGAGGAAGAAAAGTGGGGGCCAGTCCTGACTGCTACTGGCCTCTTAGGAGTTTCTTTGTGAGGTCCACAAGAGATCAAAGAATTTTGCTGATTCTTCTCATTTTGGCTAACCACAAAATTTCTACGGCAACTGTTTGTGATCCTATTTGAATTCTATCACCTTTTCACTCAGAATATGTCCCTTGAGGCAACAAACATACTGGGGTCAGTAGTTTTGCATCCAGTTTCAGAGAACCTCTGGTGAACTTGACAAAATTATGGTAGGAAAGCTGACACTGAGGCTGAACCATTACAGAAATTATCTTTAACTCGAAACTTTTCAGAGTTTCCAGGACCTGAAACTCTTGCAAATTAGCCGAGATATGACAAAGACAAATAGGGTTCAAGTTACTCTCAAAAAGCTGCCTGCTGTCCTGTGCTGGGCATAGGGCAGGAACCACCTTCCTATGTGTGCTGGAAAAAGCTGATCATTTCAGTACAGCTCTCGACAACACTGCCAGCCCATACCATTTTCCAAAAATGTATGGTCAACCATCAGAAACTAATTATGACACTGAGCATAAAGCTAGGAACCACAAAGAAGTATATGAAAATGATTTATCAATTAGAAGGCTAAAAATACAAGTGCATTTTCCTATCTTCTGTTGCAATTACACGTTCAGGATTATGCAGTTTGGATGCAAACAGGATACAAAAAAAAATAAATACAAAAGAACAATCCCCTTTAAGATAATGTAGAGTCTGTTATCTTTTGACCAAAATGAGTGGTTTCCTTTGACATAAGGGGCACATTGCAGGCAGGAAGATGGAGACCCATCTGTTCTACTTTTCAATGTGGAGGGAAGACTTTTTTGTAAGAAAAATACAAAGGAAGGGCAAAAATTAAACATTCTCCTCTCCCTGATTTAGAACCATACTCTGGTTCCATTTATGCTCTATTTTATTTACAATTTCTTCAACTACAGCATTTGGATAATGTTGAACACATTTCACGCGTCACTAATAACAATTTAAACACCGACTTACCCAGAATAAGAAGTTGAAGATGAACATGGAGTACTTCATGCAGCTGCTTACACCCGCCATTTTCAAGAAGCTAAGACAAAAATGAAAATTGCAGAAGAACCTTTCTTAAGGGTTTGACCTCAATAGAGTGACTGTTCCTGTTTCTTCAGGAAATGTCTCAGACCGCATCAAATACACTGCGCTCTGCTAGTAAAAGCAAAAATTGTGACCCAGGCATCTACAGTTATTTAAACAGTTTAGCACAGGTAAATATTAACCAGAGCACTGGGGAAGTAATACCAGGTATTATCACTGAGTCTCCAGACTCTCCTTGTGTCGTTGTGAGGTGTGCTTTTTAATGGTGCTGTTAGTCTCGTCCTACACCCTGTGAGTAAATAGATGGTGCAACAAGAACAATAGTTTCAAGGGGGAGGGAAGTTTTACAGATGTGCTTCCTTTATGACATGGAAATGAATGCATTTTTTAATGCTTTTAAGGTACAGGATTTACTCTTTCATTGTCCACAGATCATTGCCAAAATTCACTCAGTGATGTTTGCAGTCCCACTGCAGACATTCGGACTGAAAAAAAAGGAATAAGTTTGTTTCATCCCCACAGAAGAAGGGTAAGGAACCTGCAACCATTTTCTCCCTCTTGCTGTCTACTTTACCTCTTCCTCACTAAATCAGCACTCCAGGAACCTGAGCACCGTGGTGCACAAAACACGCTGCCATGCAAGTTTCCTAAAGTGCTTTGAGCCCCAGCACAGCAATCGCAGCTCTGGCGTGAGATTCAGGATGCCTCCTGGCAACGGGAGCTCCATTTGTCCCAGAAGGCAAGGCAATAAACCTGTTTCATTAGTTTTGCTTTATGTCTTGTTTGTTTTCTTTTTTGCTCCTCAAAATACAAATCATGAGGGGAATATAAAGGTATAATTGCTCTGTCTTTTCTATCAGCCTGTTTTCTGGAGAAGCCTGATAGACTAGTTCTTGGAGGGATGAGGGTCAGACACGGGTTCCCCTGGGTTCATCATAAAAAAGGAACTTTATTTTGCAGGTGAGCACAAAGGATTTAAACAGGAGAGATTAAGGACTTGCTGGACGGATGTGATTTATTAAACCCCTTGGCTCAAGCCCAGTTTTTAGCCTTTTACTGTTGGTTCTCATTCTTCAATGCTGCAATCTGTATTTGAAAAAAGTATAAAGGAAAATGTTAGTATATAACACACCTGTAGATGGTGACAAAAAGATGTCACTTAGATCCTGGATTTTATAGGATCCACAGGGAAAAAAATAAAAAGAATCTACACTGAGAGCTGTTTCCTTTGGTTGCTCTCTAACCCGACTTTTAGTGAAGGTGTGATGTTGGAATCCCTCCAGTTGCTTTCTCTAATTCTATTAAAACAGATGCAACCTTTCCCACTTTTAAGAACTGACTTTATACCTGCCTTCAACTTTTGGGCTCCTTTTTAAGTAATCTTTTTTTCTAACCCTAGGAGATCGGCTGTCTGACTAGTTTATTTCGCAATATCCACATCCACTCTGAATTTGAGAATGTTCCTAAAAATAATTGCTCTCATGAAATACAGATTTTGTAAGGATTGGGAGAAACAACTGTGTGGTATGGTTTAGATCTAAAGCACTCAACAAATAAGTAAGTTGAGAAACGTGGGTGTCTTTATGGAGAGATGCCATAGCCACAAATGAATCACGAGTTTAAAGGACCATATAAAATTGTATGCAAAGGGCCATGAAAGGTAATAAGAGAATCACAGATGACACAGGACTTGAACAGATAAGTCTGCAGCCAGACCATGCAGTTGTAGTAAACCAAGGTTTTTGTAGGCAGAAGTCAGGAACAACATTTTGTACCCAAAACTACACAGCTCTAAGTCATCATGCATGGTAGGTGCTCATTAAAGAAGTCTTGAGTTGCAGCATTGTTTTCTGTGAAATACTTGACCCAATCATTCAGTGAGAGATATTGGAGATAAATGGTGCGAGGGTTGCAATGCTATAGGAGGCAAGCACGAGCATCCACAGACTGGCCCTGTATAAAATGCCAGTTCTTCAAAGACTTGGTGTCTGCAAGTGGCCCATTAGCTGTATGCCTCCCTGAATCACTTCACAGCGCTTCTGGATTTTGGGCAGGGCAGGGGCCAGCACCAGCACCACCACAGAGGGTCCCCCAGTGGGGTGCTGGAGGACCCAGGCTGCCTGGGGCAGGGTCTCCACATCACCTCTCCCCAGCCTCCATCAGGAGGTGCAGGACCAGCACAGCAGAGAATCTGGTTCAGTCTAGGAAGTTTAAACAGTGGAGGATAGGCACGATTCAGGTCTGTTTTCATTACAATTTATACATATGGCTGTAGATACTGAAGTAATTTCCTAGAACTGCTAGGATATTTCTTTTTCTTTTTTTTCTTTTTTTTTTTTAATTCTTTTTACTGAACATTAATCACAAGAAAGATTTGGTAAGATCACAGTGCCTCCTAAACTAAGAAGAAAATATCTACATTTTACATATTTACTGATCTCTTTGGAAAAAGCTAAAATAGACCTTCTTAGGACCTGGTAGTTGCTCCTTTCCTAAGATGGGGAATAGGAAATAGTATAAAAATTAAATATATATCCTAGTGGGTTCCCATTGTGGCTGCCAAATAGAAACTCATTATCTGAAATTACCACAGTTCCTACACGTTTCATATCTATATTTAATAGTATTTGAAGTTAAAATGTCATCTAAGATTAAAGTCATACAACCAGTTCCTATCAAGTGACAAGTTTTCAAGTTAAATGTTCTATACAAGTGACTGTTTCTTATTTCCTGGCAGCACGGTGCTTTTCTATACGTCTTGGAGAAGAAGGGAAGAAGGGAGACTATGGCATGGTTCATGTTTGCAGTTGTGCCTACAAGACGAGTTTCCTGTCCTGCAAGGTAGTGCAGGTGATTGCAGAGACTGATGAATGATGACAAGGCAGGAGAAATGTTGTCTGTAAATCTTTACCACTATTTGACTGCAAAACTGCCCCCGCTATCTCTCTGCTGTTCAGACGATCAGATATGCTGGGTGAAGCAGCTGCGAGCCCCCATCCCTTCTGCCCCTCCTCACAGCACTATCGGTGCGTGGCCTGGGTGCAGCACCGGGTGGGAGCCTCTGACGCAGGGCCCAGAGCTCCTCGCCACCACAGGGGAGCTGTGACAATGTGCAGACTTTGCCCCCTACGTCACACAAGGGAGCAGGCAGAGACAGGTATATTGTGGCGGAAAAAAATGACAGTATACCTGTCACAGGCGCAGAGTAAGGCACCTCCCCTTTGAAACTTCCCAAGCAGCTACGTCTTGTTTTATAATGCTTTCATCCTCCTTCTTCTCTGAGCTCTTCTTCACTTTGAGCCATTCTTCCTGGGCATAGCACCCCAAAAACAGCTTCCCCGGATCTCACACACCTCTCCAAGCTCTCTTCTGCACGTTTATTTTCCTGCAATACCATCCTCACATCTCTCTGGGTTTACACATGAAAGCCTGTTTTCTTCTCAAAAATAATAGGCAAAAGCATATGCAGATGGGAGCATCTCATTCTGCCGTGTATTTTTTCTTCTTCTCTCCAACCTAAAAAACTCTGCCCTTTTCTTCTTTTTCTACAGCCTTCACTTCCCTTGTGAGGTGCCCCTCCATGATCAGGCGAGGTGACCAAAGCCTGTATCAGGTGATTCTGCATGCAGCCAGTTATCCCGTAAGGTCCAGATGAAGAAACAGTTTATATGTGATAGTAGCAAGCTCTTTGAACCGTGGGATGTGGACGGTGAATGATAAAAGTGTGTCTGCTGCTGGAATTCCTGTTCATCATGGTGACAGAAGAGATCAGGAAAGGTGGGTGAGAACTGATTGCAATGTGGAGCTTGTAGCCTGAAATAGATCAGCTGATATCTGGATCCCCTGAATCAGCAGGGACAGTCAATGGAGACTGTGCAGAGTATGATCTCAGGCTGTTGCAGCACTTGTCCTTCAGCAGAAGGGATAACATCTTCTCCAACCTTGCCTGCTGCCCTGAGATGCAAAGTTCCTTCACAATGCATTGCTCACCCACACCAAGTGAAGCAGCGCTGCACATCATCAGTCTTGACAGCATTTCTAATTGGGGAACGCTGCCTAAAGAAGAATTTTACAGTCCAAATTGTAGGGCAAACACATTCAAAACAATGGGAAATTGGAGCTTCTGCTTTTGTCCTTGGAGGCATTTGTAACACTGGGTCTGACTGAGGTTGCAGTCAGCCTTCTACGCCTCACATCTTGAGTTCGGCAGTAGCAAATAAGAGATCTTACTGCAATACCCTAACAGCCAGTAACACCACAGTTATAAAACTGAAGTATAGTCTTATGTCTGACTCTTAGCAAAATGCTACAGTGCCTTAACATGTCATATTTATGGAGAATTATTTTATGTTGGAATATATGTACTGATGACTTGGACAGTGAGTATATACTCAGCTCACAGAGTCAAAATATTACAATTCCTGGCCCTCATTTTTAAACAGCCTTGAGATGAAGGGTAAGGGTGGAAAGACAAACAGAAATATGCTTGGGAAGTCCAAAGGCTGAAGAAAAATTAGAAGAAACATGACAATGGTATTGTGCTTAATCATATGAATTCTCATGAATCATATGAATTTGAATTCTCATGAGAATGACAATATGATTATATGAATACTCATGAGATTCATGAGAATTCATATGATTATATGAATACACTGTTCTCATGATTTTCAGTAACTGACTTGTGATGGACAAAACTGTACACAGATACATTTTTTGCAACTTTTTTTTTTGTCTGTGATGTGTTAGATAACTATGGTTGAGACCACGACTGATCCTACAGCTGACCACATGATAAAGGGAAAGATATTAGAATATTTTCAACCGGTGTTAGGTGTGTGTGTAGCTGGTTGAGTCAGCTGTTGAGGGTGTCTTCACAGCTTCTGCAGATGACTAGGAACTGCTAGGGAATGATTTATGTTACCCTAAAATGGGCATGAAAACAGGCCAGACGCACAACAGCTCAGCAGAACATACCCACAACTACCCCAGTTCCAGTTTAGAGTGAGCTACAGCCTACCTGGAAAGCAGTCCTCTGTGATCCTTCGATACCAAACACTGCTGCTTTCTTCTCCCCACTCTTCTCCTCCTACTACTGCACCCTGAGCTGCTGTGGGAATAAACAAGTTGCTGCCCAGAGCAGGATCTGAAGCTCCTTGGTTTCCAAGGCTCTATATGAGTGAACTGGGCTGCTGGTAGTGACACATTAGGAAATGGTTTCTCACCTGTTAGAGCTCTGCCTTTCACCTTTAAGTGGTTAGTGCTCATAGTCACTAACAGCATAACCTCTTTTTTCATGATGACTATGTTCCTCCACACTCCAGACAATAACACTGTAAAGAGTTTATATAAATGATACATCCCAACATGAGTTGCTGAGCAGTACAGCTCAGAAGAAGCAGTAGCCTGACCATCAAAGCAAATCTGGATGTCCAACCCATGTCCGTACACTCAGGAGCAAGGAAATCCTGCTGTGGTCCATGCCGATCACAGCTCTGAGCTAGGAAATATGTAGCTGGGTTAACCTGATGAACTCACTTCTGAGTGTGGCCTGGTGAAAGGTGGCATGGAGATAAAATATCCCTCACCCCAGAAGGTGCTCTCTGGACCAGGACTCCACGTGAGTGTGTTGGCCAAGGAGTGAAGGGTGCATCACTCCCTCCCTCTGACCAAACTTTTCATGTTAGCATTGGAAATGTCCCTGGTGAGGAGAGGGAGTTTAAATGGGGATATGTCTCCACAAAAACGTTTCTGTTCTGACAAAGCAGTTTCATCAGAAAATCCCCAGCCAGCTCCAGTGCTGGACTCCTATGCAGGCGCTCTGTGGCCTGGTGCCAGCATCACTCATATGTTCCTGCTTTAGCAGGATCTAGTATCTTGAACACTCTCACTTCCCCTAAAGCAACAGCTCTTCCACCAGAAAACAAACCCTGTGCAGCAGGTCTGCCTCTGATCCGCTCTCCTCCCAAAGGATGTAGCCTCCTCTTCCCTTATGCTGCCAGTTTTCTCCTAAGTCTTTCATCTGAAAACTCTCTGAAATGCATATTTTTAAGCTTTCATTGATATTTGGCTCATATTAAAGTAAGAGAAGACTGCAAGTACAAAAAAAACCCTCACTTATCTAACCCACACATTTCTCTTTCCACCTCACCCCCTCCCCAGACCTTTTCATTCACCATTAGCCTTCTTGTCTGTTTTACATCCTTTTTGCTCATTTACATACTTCATGAACTAAGCTGCTCTTTTATGTAAGGCTCATGTCAGGGATTTCCTATTTCCCAGGGCCTGGTCAGAATTTATTTCAGCTAAATGTCACTGGGTTTTAAATATTTTTTTGGCTTCAAAATGAGTTCATCATGGATTAACATGCTAATCAGTGTCAGTAAGTGTTTCACTATCTAGCCTGCAAGTGTATTATCAAACTTAATTTGTTAAAGAAATCCTCGCTAAGGAACCTATACTGAATATGATTTTTGAATGTTTGTATTATATAGGCAGGTCCCAACATACGGGAGCTGTCACTAACGCAAGAAGTCGTATTTTTGACCACCGGCATTTTCAGTATATCTTGAAACTACCAGTGCGATAAAGTACTCTTCACTGTGAAGAAAGATGCCTTAAAAATAGAGAGAACACCCTTTGCTAAAGAAGAATCAAAAGGCTTCCAATGTATCTTTAGCGTATCACCTTCTTAGAAGGGCGACGAAGCTGGTGAGGGGCCTGGAGAGCAAGTCCTATGAGGAGCGGCTGAAGGAGCTGGGCTTGTTCAGCCTAGAGAAGAGGAGGCTCAGGGGTGACCTTATTGCTCTGTATAAGTACATTAAAGGAGGCTGTAGAGAGGTGGGGGTTGGCCTGTTCTCCCATGTGCCTGGTGACAGGACGAGGGGGAATGGGCTAAAGTTATGCCAGGGGAGTTTTAGGTTAGATGTTAGGAAGAATTTCTTTACTGAAAGGGTTGTTAGGCACTGGAACGGGCTGCCCAGGGAGGTGGTGGAGTCACCATCCCTGGAGGTCTTTAAAAGACGTTTAGATGTAGAGCTTAGGGATATGGTTTAGTGGGGACTGTTAGTGTTAGGTTAGAGGTTGGACTCGATGATCTTGAGGTCTCTTCCAACCTAGAAATTCTGTGATTCTGTGATTCTGTGATTCTTTTTCTAGCAGGGTCAGGGAGCTTATCCTTGAGTGTGTCTCCTGGAAAAGGACATGCGTATTTTATATTCAGGTCTAAACACCAGGAACTTGATTCTGATTTTGTTTATGCTCATGTAAATCAGAAGTTGTTTATAAGGCAAGTCACTGTCAGTGCAGATTAGAAACTATATGTCTAACCTTTCCCCCTGCCCTGATCTTTACAAGGGAAAAGGAATAAACCTGCCAGAAAATTGTGACACTGCCTCTCTGAATTTACCCTGCTGTCGTGGATAGGAAGAGTCATAGTCCCAAATGATATGAGGGCCAGACAAGTATACAGCTGTTTTGTGATCCAAAAACCAGATACTGATAGGTTAGAAAATAAAAACTACCTTATTCTCTTGTTATCTTATAGACATTAGTTATGTAAATATAGTGATACCATATAAATGTTACAACAATACTATACAATCATCTTTGTCCTGCAAGTGTTACAACTGTAAATATGCTTAAAATCATTTTGAAGTTTCTAAATGTCTTACATGAAGACTCTACATAATATGGGCAGGCAAACCATGTGGTCACCAGTTATGTTTAGAATTAGTACATAGGAAGTACATAACATCTGTCATGAAATTTTGCTCCAAAAATGCAGATTTGATATTTTATTTTGACAAGTGTATTTCCTCTATTCCAGGATAATATGACACTCAATCCCCACTTTCACTGAGGCATACCTCTGTTTGGCAAAGTAAGTAAACACATACAAAAATTAAAAAACAAACGTAAGTAAGCAAGTGTTAGCTTTCAACATTATTAATTCCTTAAGTCTCATTTTGGGTAAAACATCCATGCTCTGAAAGTTGACTGGGAGCTTCTTTATTTTTCTATGGTTGCTGTAGACAGAGTAATACTATCAAAATAACACTACACAACAAGTGAGCTACAGGCTTCACATCCCACTGAGACTCAGAGACCCTCTGGGACTATTCTACCAGATGTGTGTAGTCTTTACAGTCTGGAGAGGCATTTCCATCAAGCCTCATCTGCTCATTGACCTTCACAATCTTACTGACATTAAACTCTGCTGGTCTGCAGTGCTCTGTGGACACTGGAGTCTCTTCTGATTCAGATTGTTGCATTGCTTTTTTAGTTTAATCCCCCCATACACAATCCTTTCATTTCTGCCCCTGAGTGCTGTTTTTTACAAAGCTTGAATATGAAAATTCCATCCATCATTTGCAGACTATAAACATTTGCAAAGAAAACCCTCATATTTTCATTCCCACTCATCTTTGTCCTGCAAGTGCTATTCATTTATCCCCTATATATATAAAAGGCTCTTTTCTTTCAGTTTTTTTATTTATTTTTATTTTTTCTGTAGCTGAAAGGACAGGAAGAGAACTGAAGAGTATTACTGAAAATTCTATAGTAACTACCAAATAGCAGAGTTAGTGACTTTACCTACTGGCAACAATCCAGATTTGTAACTCGCACATGTGCAATTCACATTTGTACCAAAAACTAATTTCCTACTGAAGCCATTGAAGAAAGATGCTGTAAAGAGCCCAGTCCTCAGAAAAGCCAAGAAGCCCATGCTGAGGGACTGCTGGCCTCCCAAGACTGTAATCAGAGCTGAGAGTGCTGAGCTGCTTTCAGAGGAATCTCGGTACCATCCAGCACTAAACTCCAAATGTTAACCACTACTGTAAAAATAGTTCCCTTTTTTCAGCTGGGATTATCTCCTTTCGAACAGACAAGCACATGAAGTTACAATATCACAGCAATAGATAACTGTTGGCTGTTGCAAAAAGATTATTCTCTTATTTAATGCTACGAGAAGTGTCCAAAACAGTCCTTTACTGAGACAGAAAGAAAGAAGAAATATACTGGGACAAACCAGGGACTTTTGTATCTGCAGAAGATCTGAGAGACCACCCCAGCCTCTCTGAGACCTTGATGTGCTTTCTCACTTGCTCACTGATCCCCTTGGCTCATTCTGTGTCAAACAGTGCAAGACCAGAAGGCATGAGCTTCTGAGGAAGTCTCGGATTGCTTCTGTCCATGAAGGAATCCAAAGCTCTGCACACAGTTGTTCTTAGAGCTGACTCTGAAACTGAAAATCTGCTCTGCTGGGCCAAGGAAGATAATATTTATGGAACTACTGTGCCTCAGAGTATCTGCCCTGCATGGATAGCTAGAATGGCAGAGGTCCCTGTTAACCTTCTAGTTAAAAAAAATTATGTAGCAACTTAGGCCAAATTTAAGTTAGGAAACTTCTTATTTTGTTATCAGAATTGCTATGACAAACACTTGCTCCTGAGGAAGTATTTGCTCAAGCTGAAGCCAAGTCTTGAGCAACCATGTTTATATCCATTGCAAGAGCCACAAGAACTTACAGGAAGTGTGAATTAAAATCAATGCAAATGATAAATCTCTAGTTTTAATTTAAAATAGACTCTATATAATTGATTAAAACAGACATAGGAAGGCCAAAAGGAAGAAGAGCAAAAACTTCACAGATAAAAGTGAAACATGATCATGTTCATGCCATGCCTCCTTTGAGCACAATTGCTGTAGTTCTTAACTGTTAAGATAATAAAAGGCATAAGCTGTAGGATCCTCATCAGCATATGGTTAGGCTTTGTGTCTTTTCTTTGTTAAACCATTTGCCATCTCAAAATGACATATTTCTTCCTTTGTCGTATCCATAGATGAGATTAGCAAGCACACACACTTTATACACTTCATTAATCCTTGTGATGATTCATGCGCATGAGGTTCATACTCTAATCCAAGTCAGACCACTAAAAATACTTGACCTCCAGATGGCTGTGGTGATTGCTGAAGCTTACGAGCAGAGTTTGGACACACCGTCTTTATTCTCATGTGCCACGCTACAGATTAAACATGTTCAAGCTATCTTTTTAAAAGGTGTTTGCTGTCTATGCATAAAAGGAGTCCCTTGGACAAGGATTTTAATTAGTCAGAGATTTAGTTCAAAGTCTGGCACCATTGCACTTTAAAGAGTCTCTGGGTACTGGAAATAAGAAATAACCATAGTGCTGCAAGCAGTAAGCTCCTTGTCAAAAGATGTCATACATAATGGGAGCATCCTCCTGGATGCACACTGCTGGTTGCACGGGACTGTGCTTCAGGGTGACTGTGGGCTCTGGAAGGAATGTCAATGAAATACTGCAGCCAAACAGAAATGTTACAAGAGAAGAATGAATCTAATGACTATCTAGTTATGCTTATGTTCATGTCCATACTAGATTTTCAAGATTCGTAGCTCTTTATAAGGAATCTTAAATTTATTCCCAGATCTGAATGGTTTCCTCTCCTGTCTTTGTTCCCCATCACACAGAAATCAGATCCATGTTTGCATAAGTACTGCAATTTTGTTTTATCTTGTCTTATTAGTTCACTACTCCAAATTTATTCCATGAAAGCCTCTTAGGAGGATAAAGAGGATATTTCTTTTCCAGACTTGATATATTGGATTCCTTTCACTTAATTTCAGCCACCTGAAAGATAGGTCTGTAATTTGATTTATTTTTCTAACCGGAAGGAGATCCATCCCAAGTATATAAAACAGGTGAGGTGACTTATCATTGGCAAGGTTTTATCTCTCTTTTCTGAGCACAGACAGAACTTAAAGCATTAGCTTAGAGTATAAACCAGATTTAGGAAGCTAATATTAAAGGAAATACTACCCTAGCAGTATGCCATAAGATAAAGTCTGCTGGTTTTACCCAGAGGTTAGATATATAGCTGTTTTCCAACCTGTTGGATTACTTAGAAAATATTTGCTCATCCCAGAAAGTCTGTTAATCATACGCATAAAGGATCAGATTCTCTACTGGTGTAAAGTGAAATCACTTCACTGATTTCAAAGTTGGACTCAACAGCAGAAAAAACATACCATGGGCTACTAAACCCTCCTGAGGCTATTGAAAAGGAATTCATCAGATCAGAATAGATGTAGGAAGTTTAATATCTTCCACAATGATCTGTCTGATGTATTTCCTCATAAAGCCTGTCAACAATGGGGAAAAAAAAAATAAAAAATCACACAGGTCAAAAGCTATTCTCTCAAACCCCATCTGCACTGCAGTTTCAATAGATGTTGCAGTTCAGTGTGGTGGATTCTACTTCACTTCAAGCTTTTAAATTAAGTCTGGATACCTTTCTGAAATGATGTGGTAGAGATCAAAGAGAAGCTTGGGCCTGAAGCAAAAATGAGTGAGTGGGTTTCTATGGGCTGCATTGCATTAGAATTCAGAACTGATGATCTGAATGCTCTTTCCTCACCTGAACACATGAATCCAGTCTCATTTAGATAGTAATTCACTGCCATAGATATGCTGATTATGCTGAACTATAAAAATGTATCTAATTTAAGAAACTGGCCTTTGAGTTCAACAAGTCCGTCTGAGTCATAGGAACTAGTCTCTTGTTATTGCAGACATCACATTATATCCTTTTTTATCAACTTCCATTTTAGCAGTTTGGGTTTTTACTTCCTCTGCTCCCCTTGCAATACTGGTTAGAAAAGTTCTTCAAACTTCCAGTCTGAATTTACACATGGGCACTTTACATTTATGCAGTTTATTTCTGTCTTTACTAACAACCTTGTCTTTTGGCTTAAATAGTTATTTTCTTTCTGTAACATCTTTACAAAATGAAGGACTGCTTTGCTAAAAAGATACCATATTCTTCTAGTTTCTCGAGACAAGATGCTTGCCATTGCCCTGCTGAACCTACAATGTTTCTGTGCACCTGTTTGAGTTCACCCTTCTTGAATATTGGAGCCCCATGTAGGACATGGAGTTCCAGATGGTGTTTGAAAAATAGTCACTCTTCTTTCTACAGATAATTGCCCTCCTGCCCATATTTCTCTTTCTTGGCTGCATCACACCACACTGGTAGCACGTACTTATCCTGGTAAATAATATGCCCAAGTTCCTATCCTCTGTTGATTTTAATTGAAGGTTATTGGTTTCTGGTTTATTACAGAAGCCTTTTTGTTGTCCTTGTCGAAATTAAATACATGACATTTTGTTTTGCAGAAATCTATCCCACTAGTCCCAGGCCATTCAGTCTTTCTCTGTATCTTGATTATTCATACCTTGATCATCTCTCAAACCTTTGTGTCACCAGTGCTGTCCCCAATTTTTCCTACCACAAGTGAAACGTGTCCCAACTCTGCTCCTTTGGTGTTCCTACTCTGCTCCTCTACACCACTACCCGATAACATCTTTATTGTAAGCAGCTCCTTGCCCAACATAAACCACTTTAATGGATCTCCGTTTTCACTGGTTCAACTGATAACACCCTATGTGGCATCCTGTTACATGCTTTACAGAGATATGATAGAGAAGAGCTACTGCATTTCCACAGTCTACAGAAGTGGTTGTTTTATCAAGCATATTTCACTTCTTTCAGGACAAGGCCAATGATGGTAATTTTCTACCCATTAGCTAAAGTAATTTTCTGAGAAGTAGAAGACCTACTGTCTAATCACATCTCAGCCTTGAATGGATGGAAAAATCCCCACCATCAGTGGACAGAGAACGTATGAAGGAAGGTAGGGTGTGCAAACATTAACCATTCATCTTGAAGCTAGGCCCTTGAAGAGATAAGAAAGCAGGATCCAGATGGCTATTAGGAAAATAAGACTAGCTCTGTATTAGATTACTCACTACAATACGCTACCCATGCATTAATTGTGGGATTCAACTGCCCTAAGTGTGTACGAATGTTGCTTTAAACTGGTTGTAGAATATGTGACAGAAACAGAAGATCCCTGAGTTTTCACCATTAAGTATTTACCTTTGCCCAGCAAACTGATTTTCAATTTGTTTCAGCTAGGATCTTACTCTTCAGAGAGGTGGGTGGATCTCCTTTATGCCTGCCAAGATTATTTGACCCCACTGAGTCCTTCACTCACACCCTTTTTTCAGTCAGACAGCAAATATTTCATTACTATAGAGCCATTCAAAACAACAGACCTTCTTAAACAGAAGTCCTGGATATATAGATTAGTCACTTCCAGATGCTGGTTTTGAACTTCACTCTTTAATATCCATATTATCCTGACTACTTTTTTTTCCATGTGTATTTTTTTCTCTTCTTCCCCAGTCAGTGGTTGCAACCCTGTTCATTCCTCCTGTCTTTTTTGAAGCTGGCTATTCTTCACCAAATTCCTTCTTTCCCACCTTCTTTCCATTCCTGTTTTTCATGTCACAGCACAAACTCAACCCTTAATTCCTCATGTCTTTCAGTTGACTCTCTGTTCCTTTATTTTTTTTCTTATAGATATACTTCCCTAGGTCAACTTACCTAGAACAGCCTTGAAATCATTTTATGCAGTAGGCATCTGCAAATTCTGAGTTTTCTGTGAAGCCTGCTCTCCACCATACCATCTACATCCATCTGTGTACTTCTCCACCAATTGATTCTACAATTTGGTTATCCACTTTTCTTGGAGCTCTGGAAGGTCATGCTTTATACATGTACAGCTCTAATCAGATATGCTTTATAATGTAATGCTTTGTATGAAATTTCTTCCCCAGCTAGCTCTACTGACTCTACAGTTCCTTGGATTTCTTCTTCTGCCACAACAGACATCATTGTCTTCTCCTAGTCCATGCTTTTGAAGACAAAAATGAATTATGGTTTTAAGAAAAAGAAACAACAACAGCTATATAAAGTTAACCTTTCACTACTTTCTATTTGTTCCTGCAATAACTTAATTTTGATTACTGGAATGTTACATCTGGCTGAGATCTCTCAGCATCTAACTAGGCTTTCATATCCAACAATTGTGTTCCCAAGCAATGTGTCTCCCAAATTATGACAACATACCAATACAGACATAAAATGTGTTTATGAGTCTTCAACTGCTGTGGAGGATGTGAGATCATTGGGCTGAATACTTAACCACATTAGGCTTGCTTGGGCGTTATTGCAGCATTCAGGAGAAAACTTAAAAGTAGCTAAATAGCAAAAAGGGTGTCCTCTGTGCACAGAGGAATCCTCTTCTTTCACCAAAGTGGCATAACTACTCTGGCACCAGCTTGGGTTATAGAAAGCCTTTTGGGGCATGGCCAGGCAAGAGCAACCCTGGCTGCAGGAACACTGCATTGCTCCACGCTGGTGGTTGCAGCCCTGACACCACTCCAAGCCAGATGCTCTGTACTCCAGTGTCCGGAGTGGGGAAGAGAACAGGAAAACAGAAACAAGGCAGAGAATTGATGACTAAGAAACTACCAGGGACACCACGGGAAGGAAGAATAATGCGAGCTGCTTAAGGCAAGAGAGATCAAGGAGGACAGGGGCTAAACATGGGCAGTTCTGCTGAGGAAACTGTCAGCAACAGAGACCAGAGAAAGGTGAATTAAAATGCTTCTGAACAACCTCATAGCAGAGGCAATAAGCACACCCTTAGATACACATTCAGACCCTTCAGCTTGTGAGTCATGTAACAAAGGTTCAGCAGTGGAAACCCTCCTTTGAAACTGCAGTCAGCCTCTCCCCTCCCTTGTTCTGTTAACAAATAGTTTTCATTGATAACAATTACTGGCATGTAGAGCTCATGTAATGATGGAGATTTCA